GTCACTGAGCTGCATCCCCAGCACCCCAGAATCTGATTTCTATGAAATTGAGGCCAGTGACATTTACTGAGACCCCAAGTATGCCACACCCTTTGGCACTGAAGGTGTGGTAGAGCTTCATCCTCAGAACAAAACAGCCACCATCTCATCATCTTCATCAGACCCTCTGTGACTAGGTGCAAGTTACCCTTAAGATCAGGCCTATTGGGCTTGATGTGGTGGTGCATGCTTTTAGAGGCAAGCGAATCTCTGTGATTGAGACCAGACTGGTCTACATAGCAAGTTCCAGGCTAGCTGGGGCTGCAGGGAGATGGCCGTCTCAAAAAAACTAAAAAACAAAACCTGTTGACTGTTGGTATTCTCTCAAAGAAGGAGGGAGATGAGGAGGGTCACTTGACCCTCACCTGAGATTCTAGCCTCCCCTTCCTATACCTCTTGGCTCCCTGCATGTAATTCTGCCCTAGGTGCATGTGGCCTTGTAGTCTCTGGAGAGGCTAGAGTATACTGTTTAAGGAAGGTTAACTGAAGGTGGGGCAGGGGGATTCCCATTTATTCAGCTATGGGGAAGTTGGCACCCCATGCTGGAGTGAGACTTGTATGTGGTATAGCAGCTTTGAGGATCACTTGTGCTCCTCTAGAGTCCTCCAGACTCTGCTCAAGTTGGACTTTGGTTTGTTTTTGATACTTCTTCTTTTTGAGACAGGGTCTTGCTATGTAGACCAGGCTGGCCTCGAACTCACAGAGATCTGCTTGCCTCTGCCTCCTGAGTGCTGGGATTAAAATAGTGCACCGCCACGTGTGGCTGTCTTTGGTGCTCTTTAAGAAGGATAGACATTTGCTATCTCCTCAGACAGGAAAGCATCCCCACAAACACTAGAAGATGAACCAAGAAAAAAACTACAATCTGATGACCTCCCATGGTGGCTGAGCAGTAGAGCTCTGCACCACACCCTAGCTCCTCACCTTTCCTTATTTCTTTATTATTAGTTTTTTAGTTTTATTTTTTTGAGACAGGGTTTCCCTGTAGCCTCAGCAGGCCTGGAACTTACTATGTAGACTAGACTGCACTCAATCTCACAGAGATCCTCCTGCCTCTGCCTCCTGAATGCTGGAGTCAAAGGTGTGGGCCACCACACCTGGTTCTTCCTTTTTTTAAAAAAGTTTATTTTTTGTATTTATGTATATTATGCTAGACAAACACTCTACCACTCAGCTACAACCCTAGCCTGGGCAGGTTTATTAATCTGTCTATGACTCAGTTAACTTGTATAAAACATGACCCCCGGTGTCATCTTTCCCTTCGTTTGTGAAATAGTTTATATAAAGGGTTTGATATGGCGCTTGGCCCAATCAGTATTACTGTGACAGGGACAGGTTACTAGACAGGCTTCCTGGAGGAGGGGACGTCTAAGGAAAGGCCTAAAGGAGTAGGAGAGAGTTCACTAGCTGAAGGGAACCTGAAAAGAAAGAGTGGTCCAGCGTGACCAAGTCCACAAGGCCATAGGCCCCACGGCTTCTGTAGGGAGTGGATGTCTTCTGAGTCCCCCAGCTCCTTCCTGGACCCCCAATTTAGCCCTGGGGTGAGGCTGGGCTGGCGGAGGACTTGTTGGGAAATCCAAAGATAGCCAGCCAGGGATGACTCGCAGCCCCTGCTTCCCCTTTCAAGAGACGATGAATCAGCCCAGCAACTGGAATGCAGGCCTGGGGAAAGGCAGGCCTGGCTCTCAGGCTCAAGGCCACTGGGCTCTGACTCACCAAAGGTAGGTGGGCAGGCAGGGAGGGCTCCGCAGGGGACAGGGCTGCTGGGAAGCTGGACTCCACAGCCGGATGTGTGACTTCCTGGCTGTGACCTTGGACCAGGACTGGCCACTCTGCAAACTCAGTTTCTATATCTGTATAATGGGGAAGCTGGGGACTAGAGTAGTGACCAGCGGCTTATGATTTATAAAAAGCAAGGTAAACCAGGCATGGTGGCGCATGCCTTTAGTCCCAGTACTCAGAAGGCAGAGGCAGGTGAATCTCTGTGATTTTAAAGCCAGGCTGATTTACATAGCAAGTTTCAGGCCAGCTGGGGCTACAGGGAGACCCTGTCTCAAAAAAGACAATAAATAAATAAATAATTAACTAGGTGGTTAGGCCAGTGAGATGGCTCAGCCAGTAAAGGTGCTTGCCACCAAGCCTGGCAACCTGAGTTCAAACCCTGGGACCCATAAAGTAGAAGGACAGAACCAACTCTTGTAGTCTGTCCTCTGACTTTCACACTGTAGTATAAGTGTATATACACACAAACACATGACTTTTTAAAGCAGGGTATGCTGGGCTTGGTGGTACATATCTTTATTCTCACCAATCAGGAGGCACAGGCAAGCAGATCTCTGAGTTCCAGGCCAGCCAGGGCTACATAGTTGAGACCCTTTCTCAGAAAGAAAGAAAAAGAAAGAAAGAGAAAGAAAGAAAAAGGAGAGCAGGTATTAGCTAGAGATGTTGGTACATGCCTGTAATCCAAGCACTCAATAGGTTGAGGCACAAGGGTTGTGAGTTCAAGGCTAGCTTGGGCTACATAGTACCAGGTCTACATAATGGGGCCCTGTCTCAAACAAAACAAAACAAAACAAAACAAAACAAAACAAAAACAGCTGTGCTGGAGAGATGGCTAAGTTGGGAAAGTGCTTGCTAAGTAAGCATGAGGATCTGAGTTGGATCCCCAGAACTCAAGGGAAAAAAAGCCAGGTGTGGCCGGGCATGGTGGCACATGTCTTTAATCCTAGCACTCAGGAGGCAGAGGCAGGTAGATCTCTATGAGAGGCTATCCTGACCTACATAGTGAGTTCCAGGCCAGTCAGGGCTACATAGTGTGAACCTGTTTCAAAAAACCAAAACCCAAACCAAACAAACCAACCCCCCGCCCCACAAGTCAGATGTGATAGTACCTGGAATCTTGGTACTGGGAAGGCAGAGACAGGTGGATCCTTGGGGTTCACTGACCAGCCATCCTGACTGAATTGGTCAAGTTTTAGACCAGAGAACTCATCTCAAAAAAGCAAGATATAGGCTGGAGAGACGGGTCAACTGTTAAAGAGCCCTGGCTGCTCTTGAAGAGGACCCAGGTTCAGTTCCCAGCACCCCATGGCAGCTAACAACCATCTGTTACTCCAGTTCCAGGGGATCTGATTCCCTTTTCTGGCCTCTACAGGCATTGCATGCATGTGGTGCACTTACATACACACAGGCAAAATGCACATACAAATAAATAAGTAAAAAGCAGGGCCACAGACCTAGGCACGCAGTAGAGCCCTGTCAAGCACCAGCCCTTTCTTTTTCTGCTCCAAGATCTATCTAGTTCTGCAGTTAGCAATTGTGTGGCATGGTTTCAGGGTTTGCATGTCTGCAGTTGGCATCCAGGTCTGCTCAGTATGACTAGGGGGAAAATCAGCAAGAAAGGGCAGCCACACATCATGTGTGACTAATGGTAATGAAAACATTCCCTCACCTTTGTGCTACTAAACACTCACCTGACCCTCTGTCCCACTGTTTTTTAAAAAAAACCTGTATTTATTTTTATTTTATGAGTGTTATGTCTGCATGTATGTAAGTGTACCCATGTTATGCAATGCCCAGAAAGGCCAGAAGAGGGCTTTGGGTCCCCTGGAACTGGAGTTACAGATGGTTTTTAGCCAACATGTGGGTGCTGGGAATCAAACCTGGGTCTTCTGCAAGAGCAACCAGTGCTCTTAACCACTGAGCCATCTCTCCAGTTCTCTCTCTCCAGTTCTCTCTCTCTCTCTCTCTCTCTCTCTCTCTCTCTCTCTTTCTCTCTCTCTCCCCCAATATTTACAACAGTTCCATGGGGATACAGAGAGGTGAAGCCACTTGCCCTAGGTCACACAGCAAGTAGATGGCAGGACCAGGATGCAGATGCCTGTCTATCTGAGTTCAAACACCTTTGCTTCTGGTCTAAGATCTGGGCAGGGTGTTGTTGACAATCACCTAGCCTATAACACTTGGATTTGCTTTAAGAGACTTTATGTATGTATGTATGTATGTATGTATGTATGTATATGTATGTATGTGTTTAATGTATGTGTGTGTATGTATGTATGTATGTATATGTATGTATGTGTTTATTTATTTGGAAGGGACATACCACAGTGCACATATGTGGAGGTCGGGGGACAACTTGCAAGAGTCAATTCTCTCATTCCAACCATGTGGATCCTGTGTGGGGTCAAACTTAAGTCGTCAACTTTGGCAGTAAGTGCCTTTACCTACTGATCCATATCACTGGCCCCTTTTTTTTGTTTGATTTTGAGACAAAGTCTCATGTAGCCAAGGGTGGCCTAAAACTTGCTATGTAGCTGAGGCTGGCCTTGAGCTGCTGATCTTCTGGCTTCTGCTTCCCAAGTACATGTTGAGATTATAAATACGGCCTGTTTTTCTTTCTCTCTCTCCCTTCCTTCCTTCCTTCCTTCCTTCCTTCCTTCCTTCCTTCCTCCCTCCCTCCCTCCCTCCCTCCCTCCTTTCTTCTTCCAAATGTAGCCCAGGCTGACCTAAACTCATGTTCCTCCAGCCTCAGCCTCCTGAGTGGTGCAGTCACAGGTTTACTTACACCATCATATTCTGCTCTGGAGCCTTCTTTTAGATAGGGAAACTGAGGTTCAGATAGGGCAAGTGCCTTCCACGAGAAAATCTGCAGATCTGCTGTGTTTGGATAGAAACAGCCACTTCTGACATTGTTTACCATTTATTACAAAGGTTAACAGCGGAGACTGGTGAGTCGCACCCCCACGCCCCTCCCTCCCTAGATAGTCTCTCAAGTTCTGGAAAAGCCGTGTCCTTGACGTCCACCAGGGGGCGCCGCCTCCCTCCTCTCCACCCGGGTTCCTTCAGCTAGGCCGGCCTGCGGTAACTGAAGCTTGCAAATATCCTCAACTCGCAAGTTCCCAGTTCCTTCTTTTCCTGGGACCTTGGAGTCCTGCCCCCGGGCACCTCGACCTCTAACAGAGTAAGAGGTCATCTATAGCAGCATAGAGAGATTTCAGAGGAGGGTGTGCGGGAAATGGCAGCCATGTTCCCACTGGGGCTGGAGGTCCAAGTCAGCGTCCCCTTATGGCTGCTGCCAGCAGAAAGCCAACTCATCCCAAATGGGCCCCCTTGAGTTCTGGCACCTTGAGGTGCTGGAGTGGCAGGGAGAGCCTGATTTCTCCATCCTGGATCCTGAAGGAGACAAACAGAGAGGTGGGTGGGTAGCATGCTAAAAGCAGAGTGAAAGAGGAGACAGGGCAATGCCAGTGGTGGAGGCTGGCAAAAGCCAGGGAGTAGCCCAGGATGGAAGAAGAGGGAAGTGCACCTAGGAGAGCAGGGTGGTGGTGGGCCTGGAAACAGAGACCAAGCAAAGAAAGGGAGAGGGCTAGGGAAGTGGCCCATCTAGAACCCACCAGTGAGGAGCTGGGGATGTGGCTCAGTCCTAGAGCCCCTGGCTAGAATCCTCCAGTGAGGGGCTGGGGGTGTGGCTCAGTCCTAGAGCCCCTGCCTAGAATCCCCCAGTGAGGGGCTCGGGGTGTGGCTCAGTCCTAGAGCCCCTGCCTAGAATCGTCAGTGAGGGGCTGGGGGTGTGGCTCAGTCCTAGAGCCCCTGCCTAGAATCCCCCAGTGAGGGGCTGGGGGTGTGGCTTAGTTCTAGAGCACCTGCCTAGAATCCCCCAGTGAGGGGCTGAGGTGTGGTTCAGTGGTAGAACACCTATATAGCATGTATAAGGCCCTGGGTTCCATCCCTAGCACCACAAAGAGGAAAGGGAGAGGGAGATGGGAAAGGGAGAGGAAGGAGGGAGCGACTACTGAGGGTCAGAAGTACAGAAGGAAGGGCTTCCTCCTCTGCCAGTCCAGTCCTGAGCTAAAGTCCTAACAGAGTGGCACAGAGAAAGGGCAGCCTTGTCTCTTGGCACCAGCCATACCAGGCACTGGCCACAGTAACATTTTTCCTGCCCAAGTCTCTGCTCCCTTACCGGACTACGTGGCCTCCTGGCTGGGTTCTGGTAGCTGCTGTGGCCGCAAAGCAGTACTGAGCAGCTCTGTCAGGGTGTCCAGCTTCCCCGCCAGCCCATCGATTCGCTTCTCCAGGGTCTGATGGGAGGTGCTGAGACCCAGCTGCAATTCACACAGGATCATGTGCACCTGAGTGGGAATACAGTGCTGGAGTGAGGGCACAGGACACAGCCGCTACTCTATGGAGTAGAGCGGTAGAGTCAGCATGGACCAGCCCAGACGGTCCTTGAGGACTGTATTCAACAATCACCTTATCTTTCAATGACCACTCAAATCGCAGCTGCTCAGGCAGGTGCCATTCTGGTTTGGCTTAAGATCCTCTTAAAAATCACAGGGGCGGGGGCCTGGAGAGATGGCTTAGTGATTAAGACCACTGGCTGCTCCTTCAGAGGACCCAGGTTCGATTCCCAGCACCCACATGGCAGCTAACAACCATCTGTAACTCCAGTTCCAGGAGATCCAACACCCTCGTCTGGCCTCTATGGGCACTACACACATACAGTGCACTTACATACATGCAGGCAAAACATTCATACACATTAAAAACAAAAATAAATAAAATTTAAAATGTCACTGGGGTGGACTAGGAATGTAGCTCAGTTGGTAGAGTGCTTGCCTGCATGCACAAAGCCCTGGGTTTGAGCCTTGATGTATGGTGGTGCACATCTGTGATCCTAGCACTCAGAAAGTGGAAAGGTGGAGGAAGGAGGATCAGGGGTTCAAGATCATCCTTGACTATATAGTGAGTAGTGAGTCTGAGGCCACCCTGCTTCAAAACAAAAGAAAAATATGTCACTGGGAGCGGGCACCCTGTTCCATGTTACAACTGAGGCGGCAGCATGGAGTGACTAATGGCCTGGCCAAATCAGGTATAAAGCCTGGATCATAATAGGTGCTCATTAAATATTTGTGGACTTGGTGATGCCTGGATTCCAGACCCAACAGCCCTTTTGTTACCTCCAGTATGATCCCTGAGGATCACTCAGCATTTCTTCCCTCCCTCCCTCTCTCTCTCTCTCTCTCTCTCTCTCTCTCTCTCTCTTTCTTTCTTTCTTTCTTTTTCTTTCTTTCTTCAGGGCCTCACTATGTAGCCCTGGTGCCTGGCCCTGTATCCAAGAATGACTTTGAATTTCTTATCCTCCTCCCTGTCTCCTTAGTGTTGGGATCACAGGCATGTGCCACCACATGTGGTTTATTCAGAGTTGGAGATGGAACCCAGGGCTTCCCCAACTGAGCTGCATCCCCCATCCTATTATTGGTTTTCTAGGTCTCGTGTAGCTCAGGCTGGCCTCATGTAGCCTAGGCTGATCTCTAACCTTGAACTTCTGATCCTCCTGCTTCACCTGTCTGGTGCTGGGATTATAGGTATGTACCACGAGGCCCGGTTTGTAAGCTGCTGGGGATGGAACTCAGGACTTCATGCATACTAGGCAAGTACTCCATCAAGAGAGTCACATCTCTAGCCCAGTCTGTGAGCTTGATATGAGGACTTGTGAATCGTGTGCTTAGGGCTCCATAATCTTCATCAATACAGATCCACCCATTCTGGCTGACGTGGACTACCACGGCCCCGCTGAGACCTGCCATGCAGTATTGGGACCTGTGTCTGACTATTTACCATGGCCTTGGAGCCAAGGGCCACTGTTTGAGTAGTCATGGGCTAATGAGAAAAAGCAAAGATACAGATACAGAAGGGGGCAGGGCATGAGGCAGGCCAAGGGGGTGATGTCTTTGCCCTGGGCACAAGCAAAGGGACCCCTTCTGCCCTGGGCACCCGCCTCACAACAGCATCGAAACAACGTTGCCTGTCTGTGGCTGTTGACCTTTTTTTAAAATTGGCTTTACTGTCTATATTTGAGCTTTGTTTTTAAATTTGCTTGGTCTTATTTGTATAAGAGTCTTACTTGGAAGGCTGTCCACGTGTAAGTAATAAAGATAATTCAAAACCAAACACTGGAACTCTTTGTGTAATTTTTTTTTTTAATTTAAAAGGGCCTATGTCTTACCTAAGTGTGGAAGCTCCATGTTGATTACTTGTTTTCTTCATTCTACCATAAACATTTACTGCATATCTGAGTGTTTTAGGCCTCTGCACATGCCCATCTATTTATTTATTCATTTATTTTAATTTTATTTAAGCTAGAGAAGGTGGTAAAGGCTTTTAATCCTGGCACTCATGAGGCAGAGGCAGGTGGACCTCTGTGAGTTCCACACCAGCCTGGTCTACATAGATGCCAGGCCAGCCAGGGATACATACTGAGACTTTGTCTAAAAAATTGGTTAATGTGGGGCATAGTGGTACACTCCTATGATCCCAGCACTTGTGAGTTTGAGGTTAGTCTGTTCTACATAGCTAGTTCCAGGGCAGCTGTGGCTATTGGGAGACCCTGCCTCAAAAAGACTAAACAAACAAACAAAAAGATTATCTATTATTATTGTGTGTGTGGTGCCAATGTGCATGTGTGGGGGTCAGAGGACAGCTTTGTGAAGTTGGTTCTCTCCTTCTACCTTAAGGTAGGTTCCGGGGATTAAACTTAGGTTATCAGCTTGACAGACAAGCACTTTATCCACTGATCCATCATGCCAGTTTTTATTTTAATATTTATTTATTTTTATACATATGAGTGTTTTGCCTGTATGTACATAAGTGCACCTGTGCGTGCAATGCCTGTAGAGGCCAGAAGACGGTGTTGGATCCCCTGGAACTAGAGTTATGGATGGTTGTTACCCACCACGTAGGTGCTGGGAATTGAATCCGGGTCTTCTGGAAGAACAGCAAGTGTTCTTAACCAGAGTGTTCTGAGTCATCTCCCCAGCCCCTAGTGTGTTGTTAGGCAGGGTCTCATGCAGTCCAGGATGGCCCTGAACTCACAATGTAGCCAAGGATGGCCTTGAACTCTTGATCCTCCTGCCTCCACCTCCCCACCATCCCTGGCTCTGTGACTTGTTCTCCCATTTCCCTTCTCTCACTCAGCCCTAATGTCCTCTTTCCCCAAGACATCCCAAAGGCCGTGGTACCTTGGAGATATCCACCATAGAGTTCACTTGTTCCCGAAGCTTCCGATACTTCAGCCGCGCCTGGCGGAACCTGTGAGGGAAGCAGGATTGGTTCTCACCCTGGTCCCTGCCTATGGTCCTAGGGTTGAGGAGAGGACAGGCAGAGAGGCAAAGCTGCCTAGGCTGATTGGGTGGGAGGGGCTCAGTAGGGGAACCCCAGAATCCAGGGTCACAGATGCTGAGAGTTAAATTTGATCCACACATAGGTGTCCTGGACAGGCCTGAGCACAAGTACACACATTATGCAGAGAGGTGACAGGGGCACACAGAGTGGTCCTCACGTGTGGATGGCGGCTAGCAGCTTGCGCTGATGCCTGCGGGCAGCTCGGGAGTCCTTCCTGCGCGTGTGCTTGTGGTACATCCAGGCCTCCTGCAGCAACCTGGCTGCAGACTCCTTCATCTGGTGGCAGACAGTACAGCATCAGGGCAGACGGTACAGCATCAGGGCAGAGGGTACAGCATCAGGGCAGACGGTACAGCATCAGGGCAGAGGGTACAGCATCAGGGCAGAGGGTACAGCATCAGGGCAGAGGGTACAGCATCAGGGCAGACGGTACAGCATCAGGGCAGACGGTACAGCATCAGGGCAGACGGTACAGCATCAGGGCAGACGGTACAGCATCAGGGCAGACGGTACAGCATCAGGGCAGACGGTACAGCATCAGGGCAGACGGTACAGCATCAGGGCAGACGGTACAGCATCAGGGCAGACGGTACAGCATCAGGGCAGACGGTACAGCATCAGGGCAGACGGTACAGCATCAGGGCAGACGGTACAGCATCAGGGCAGACGGTACAGCATCAGGGCAGACGGTACAGCATCAGGGCAGACGGTACAGCATCAGGGCAGACGGTACAGCATCAGGGCAGACGGTACAGCATCAGGGCAGACGGTACAGCATCAGGGCAGACGGTACAGCATCAGGGCAGACGGTACAGCATCAGGGCAGACGGTACAGCATCAGGGCAGACGGTACAGCATCAGGGCAGAGGGTACAGCATCAGGGCAGACGGTACAGCATCAGGGCAGACGGTACAGCATCAGGGCAGACGGTACAGCATCAGGGCAGACGGTACAGCATCAGGGCAGACGGTACAGCATCAGGGCAGACGGTACAGCATCAGGGCAGACGGTACAGCATCAGGGCAGACGGTACAGCATCAGGGCAGACGGTACAGCATCAGGGCAGACGGTACAGCATCAGGGCAGACGGTACAGCATCAGGGCAGACGGTACAGCATCAGGGCAGACGGTACAGCATCAGGGCAGACGGTACAGCATCAGGGCAGACGGTACAGCATCAGGGCAGACGGTACAGCATCAGGGCAGACGGTACAGCATCAGGGCAGACGGTACAGCATCAGGGCAGACGGTACAGCATCAGGGCAGACGGTACAGCATCAGGGCAGACGGTACAGCATCAGGGCAGAGGGTACAGCATCAGGGCAGAGGGTACAGCATCAGGGCAGAGGGTACAGCATCAGGGCAGAGGGTACAGCATCATCAGGGTGAGAGGGACTCCCAAAGGTCTGGAAGGTCCAGCTGGGCAATGGCAGGGAAGACAACTCTTTTTTCAGGGTGAGAGGGACTCCCAAAGGACTGGAAGAGCCAGCTGGGCAATGGCAGGGAAGACAACTCTTTTTTTAAAAAAAGTTTTTGGCTGGGCATGTTAGTACATGCCTTTAATCTTAGCACTCAGGCCTCTGTGAGATCAAGGCCAGCCTGGTCTACATAGCGAGTTCCAGGCCAGCTGGGGTTATAGGGAGACCCTGTCTCAAAAAAACCAAAAAACCAGGGGGCGTATTTATTTATTTATTTTTAAGTGTATGAATGTTTTGCCCACACATATGTAAGTGCACCACACGCATGTGGAGGTCAGAATGGGTGTTGGATCCCTTGGGACTGGTCTTAAGGATGGTTGTTAGCTGCCACGTGGGTGCTGTGCACCGAACCCAGGTCCTTTGTGAGACCAGCCAGTGTCCTTAACCCCTGAACCATCTCTCCACCCCTCCCCCCTTTCAAGGGTCTTGCTATATAGCCCAGGCTGTCCTCAAACTACTGTCATCGACCTCCTGGGTGCTGGATTCCAAGTATGAGCCACCATACCTAGCTTTGGCAGGGGCTGACATTTTTTTAATGACATGGTCTCATGTAGCCCAGGCTGGTGTCAAATTCACTATGTAGCTGAGAATGACCCTGAACTCCTGATACCCCTGCATCCACTTCCTTAATGTTGGGATTACAGGCCTGCACCACCATGCCCGTTTTATGTGGTGCTGGGTCTCATGCATGCTAGGTGAGCACTCTACCCACTGAGCTACAGCCCAAGTCCAGTGTCCCATGCCCTCACCTCTTTGGTATAGTGAATGTCCATCATGAAGTTGTGCACGTGTTTCTCTGCCTTGTTAAATTCCAGCTTCCGGGCCACCACGGCCACTAGCAGAGCGGTGCAGCAGACCCCCTGTGGGCATAAAGGCATCATGGGGTTGTGGAACTTGGGCTCAGTCCTGTGCCACCAACTCCTTCCTTGAACTTTCTCATGGTCACAAAGGAAGGAATAACTGTCACCATTTTACAGACCAGCATCAGAACCGTCTCACTCTTTCTGCTTTTTTTTTACCCAGGCTGGCCTTGAACTCACTATATATCCGAGGGTAATCCTGAACTTCTGATCCTCTTACCTCCACCTGCCAAGTGCTGGAATTACAGCTGTGTGCCACTATGCCCAGTTTTTGCAGTGTTGGGGATGGAACCCATCACTCACTAGACAAGCACTCTACCAACTGAGCTACATCCCAGCTCTGTATGTTTTAGGGTGGAGGCAGGGTCTTGCTATGTAGCCCAGGCTGTCCTCAAACCTGCATTGATCCTCCTACCCCTGCCTCAATTGTGCTGAGATTACGGTATGCTCCATCCTGCCCATTCAGTCTCTGATGAGTGTGTTTCACCTCCTACACATCTCTGCAGCCTCATCCCAGCTCTGGTCCTGTCCCCACCCGCCGCCCCAACCAACTTTTTCTTTCTTTTCTAATATTTTATTTTTATTTTATTTTGTGTATGAATGTATTGCCTGCATGTGTGTAAATGCACCTGTGTCATTCAATGCCCTCGGAGGGCAGAGGAGGGAGTTGGATTCCCTTGGAACTGAAGTTACAGATGATTGTTAGCTGCCATGTGGGTGCTGGGAATTGAGCCCAGGTCCTCTGCAAGAGCAACAAGTGCTCTTAACTGCTGAGCCATTTCTCTAGCTCCTTCTTTCTTTTCTTTTAGTGGTGGTAGGGATGGAACCCAAAGTCTTGTGCATGCTAGGCAAGTGCTGTACCATGGAGCTGTACCCCTCCCCCAGCCCGTCCATGAGGGATTCTAGGCAGACTGGGCTACATTCCCAGCCAGTCACTGGTGGAGTCTAGTCAAATGGCTCTACTGCTGAGCCACACCCCAGCCCCTCACTGGGGGATTCTAGGCAGGTGCTCTACCACTGAGCCACACCCCAGCCCCTCACTGGGGGATTCTAGGCAGGTGCTCTACCTCTGGGTCACGCCCCAAGCCCTTCACGGGGGGATTCTAGGCAGGTGCGCTACCACTGAGCCACACCCCAGCCCCTCACTGGGGGATTCTAGGCAGGTGCTCTACCACTGAGCCACACCCCAGCCCCTCACTGGGGGATTCTTGGCAGATGCTCTACCACTGGGTCACGCCCCAAGCCCTTCACTGGGGGATTCTAGGCAGGTGCTCTACCACTGAGCCACACCCCCAGCTCTCCTTTCTTTCCAGAGTCATCTCCAGCCTCCTACTCATGCTAGCCTGACTCCAAGGAGACCTGACAAGCTGTTAAGACCCTCTTCCCTCCCTCTAATCTCTTCCTAGGCTCCCAGTGTCTTGAATTTCTCAGCTGGTTGTGAAGGGCTCCCACTGTTCAGGTCTTCCACTCTTCTATACCCAGCCTCCCTGTGAGACGGCTCACACCAGGCTGCATTCTGTGTCTGCTGCCGGGCCCCTTCCTCCTACACTCTTTCTCTTCCCTTCCTTCCTCCAGGTCTTCAAGTCTCTAGCACACCCAGCTGCAGTGTGGCACCAGCTTGCTCCTCGAGTTAGAATAAAGCCCCCCCCGCCACCTGTCCCAGCTTTGTCCCTGAGAACAGTTCATTTGTCACAAGCCTTGGCTTCAAGGACAGCTTGGCTCTGAGCTCAGCTCTAAGCAGGCAACTGAGTCCCTCTTGGAGTCATCTATGAAACAGACATGTCTCCCAGTATCTCTGCAAATTCCACGAGTTGCTACCCCGAAAAGGCCAGAGTGGAGAGACCTGCACAGAGGACCCACTGAGGACAAAGCCAGACTGGGTAGCACACACCCGTAGTCTCAGCACTTGGGAGTGGGGTGGGGCTGAGGCAGGAGGATCAGCCTCTGTTGCATGGCAGGTTTGAGGCCAGCCTGAGCTATGTGAACCCTTGTCTCAAAAAACATAAAGGTGGGGACATGGCTGGAGAGATGGCTTAGCAGTTAAGAGCTCAGCATTTAAGAGCCTGTATTTGGTTCCCAGCACCCACATGGCAGCTAGGAACTACTTGTAACTCCAGTTCCAGAAGATCTGATACCCTCTTCTGGCCTCCATGGGCATTGTATGACATGGATTTGCTTACATACATGCAGGCAAAACATTCACACACACCAAATACAAACAAACAAATAAATAAATGGATGGGCAAAATGGCTCAGCAGGTAAAAATACTTGCCTCTAAGCCTGATGACCTGAGTTTGACCCCCCCAGGACCCTCATGGTGAAGGAGAGAACCTACTGCCCAAAGCAGTACTCTGACCTCCACAGGCATGTTATGGCATGCCCATAACCCGCCCCCCCCAATAAACAAAGAATGTGAAATTTTTTTGTCTTTTTGAGACAGGGTCTCCCTGTAGCCCCAGCTGTCCTGGAACTCACGATCATAAGCTGGTACACGAAGACACCAGCAATGGACCCCAGAAGTGGGGAGACGATAGGTACCCACCACCAGTGTTTGCCAGTCCTGGAGGGCAGCAGATATAGGTGGTCAGAGGTGGGTAGGGCAGGCATTGAAAAAGCGGGCTACATAAGCTGGGTGGGGGCTATACTCACGTGAAGACTTCTGAGCCCCAGCCAGCCAGGGCAGTGAAAAGACGAGGGCCAAAGTCACGGGCAGGATTGACAGCATAGCCGGAGTTGAAGCCCATGGAGGTGCCAATGACCAGGACCACAAGGCCCACAGTGAAGGCCTCCAGGCCACGGGGGACAGGGTTGTTGTAGGGGTCAACAATGGCCAGCACACACACAATGAGGGAGGCTGTGCCTATAAACTGGGGAATGAGGAGAACAGGGTAAGGGCCAACTCCCTCCCCTGCCCTCTGAGCTTTCCCTTCCTGTTTCACCTTGGTCTCTAAAGTAGGGGTGCTAGGATGTTTGTAAGCACAAGAATTTGTTGGAAAGCTACATGATTTATTTTATTTTTTGATGTTTTTGAGACGGGGTCTCCCTGTAGTCCCAGCTGTCCTGGAACTCACTATGTAGACCAGGCTGGCCTTGAACTCACAGGGATCTGCCTGCCTCCGCCTCCCCAGTGCTGGGATTAAAAGCATGCGCCACCACGCCTGGCTAAGAATGTAATTTTTAAAAGCCATAAAAGGGGAAAAACAGTAAGCTGCTTATTCCATGGATGAGCTCAGTCAGACATGGGCAGTTACGTCGAGTGATCTCAATTCTCGGAGGAGTCTCATATTCATGTCTTCTCAAATGACCCAGGTCCCTGATTCTTGGGAATATTTTTCTGGTCTTTTCTTTTAAGCCCAAAACTCACACCTCACCTGTCACCTGTGGACTCAAGACTTAAAGCCTCAATATGTCCTTCCTAAGCCAGCATCAGAGCTAGTGGCTCATGTCCTCTGTGAGAAGGACCAAGGCCCAGGCATTGGTGGCCGAGCCCTGGAGAGAGAAACGGCTGGAAGGGAGGAGCTGGGTGCCCGAGTCTGTGTTAGGAGGAAGGTGGTGACTGTAGAGAGGGGACAGAGCTTGGGAGTGGGAATCTCTGCATCCTTGAGGGCTTAGGAGCTGGGATGGGGACAGCCAGATGACTGGGCTGGATTCTAGCAACTGAGCCCCCACCACATTGACTGAGCACTTCCTACGCTTCTTGTTTGAATCCTTGGCATGGTGCTGTTCATTTACTGTCTCAGCTATTCCACAAGAATATTGGGACTAGAGCTGGAGAGATGGCTCAGTGGTTAAGAGCACTGGCTGCTCTTGCAGAGGACCTGGGTTCAGTTCCCAGCACCCACATGGCAGCTAACAACCATTTGTAACTCTAGTTCTAGGGGACTCCAACGCCCTCTTCTGCCCTTCAAGGGCATTGCATGATACAGGTGTACTTACACACATGTGGCAATACACATAAAATCAAAATACTAAATAAAATATTTTAAAAAAAGAATACTGGGACTGGCTTCCATTTCACAAACTGGGACATTAAAGCCAAGAGAGATCACGGGGCTCACCTGAGCACCCAGGCTGGCAAGTGGCAAAAGGTGTTTTTTGGTGGGGTTGGTTTTGCTATTTTTGTATGTTTTTTTGTTTTGGTCTTTTTTTGAGACAGGGTCTCTCTGTAGCCCCAGCTGGCCTGGAATTCGCTTTGTAGACTAGGCTGGCCTTGAACTCACAGAGAACCGCTTCCCTCTGCCTCCCGAGGGCTGGGATTAAAGCAGTGTGGCACTACCACCGGTGTTTTTCTTTTTTTAATATTTTATTTATTATTTTTATTTTATGTGTATGAGTGTTATGCCTGCATGTAGGTAAGTGCACCCATGTCATGCAGTGCCCGAGGAGGACAGAAGCAGCTGCCGGATCCCCTGGAACTGGAGTTATAGACAGTTGTTAGCTGCAATGTGGGTGCTGGGATTTGAACCCGGGTCTTCTGCAAGAACAAGTCAGTGTTCTTAACTGCTGAGCCATCTCTCCAGCCCCTGAGCTGATCTGGAACTCGCTATGTAGACCAGGTTGACCTGGATCTCACAAAGGGCTGCCTGCCTTTGCCTCCCAAGTGCTGGGATTTAAAGGTGTGTGTCACCATGTCTGGCCTGCAAAGAGAGATTTGAAGCCATGCAGCCTGGCCCAAAAAGACATACTCTGGATGATGACTGCACCCTAGGGGAGGACAGGAGACCAGATCCCCTGGGCTTGGGATGAAAATTGTGGCTAGGAAATCGGGGTTTGGGTCCCCGAGGAGGAAAAGAGTCCTGGGTTCTAGAGAAAGGACTTACAGGCAAATGTCTTAAAAGTGTGGTATCCTGCATTCTGGAAGCTGAAGCAGGAGTGCAGGTTTGAAGTCAGTCTAGGGTACATAGCAAGACCCTATCTTAAAACAAGAAAACAGAGAGGCAGAGGCAGGTGGATCTCTGTGAGATTGAGGACAGGCTGGTCTCTCTGCAGCAAGTTCCAGGTCATCTGTGGTTACAGGGAGATCCTGTCTCAAAAAGACAGAGAGAGATGGGGCGGGGGGGGCGGTGGGGAATGAAAGACTTTTAAACTAAGCACCCGGGAGGCAGAAGCAAGTGAATGTGAGATTGAGGCCAGCCTGGTCTACACAGGGAATTCCAGGCCAGCTGTGGCTACAGGGAGACCCTATTTCAAAACAAAAACAGAAATAGAAAAAGAGGGTAAGAGAGAGGAGAGAAGGGGAGAAGGGGAAAGAGAGAGGAAGAGGAGAGGGAGAAAATGGAGGGGTGAGAGGAAGAAGACAGGGAGGAGGAGGTGGAAGGGGGACTGAATGGGGAGGAGCAGGAAGAGGAGAAGGAGGAGGAGGAGGAAAAGGAGGAGGAGAAAATAGGGCTGGATATTGGAGTCTTAAAGAGAGAATGAGGCTGTGGGGTGTCCCTGAGAATTTGTGCTTGCTCTGAGGTTCCTGGGCTGTGAGGACCAGCATTTTGGGAGAGGGATGGGTCCTCGGTATCAGTGCTCACCATCACTCCAGTGCACAGGCAGACCATCTTGCCCCATATGGTGCCCGGTACCACGTCTCCATAGCCAATGGTCAGGAATGTGATGGGAATCAGCCAAAGCGTGTCTGTGAGGTGCCCCGTGGCATTGACAGTCTGCCTATGGGCAAGGGGAGGTTAGTCCTGAAACCCCAGCCTGGGGGTATTGGTAACATTGTAACCCCCCACCCCTTCCCTCCCCTTCTTATCCACACTCTTAATCCTAGAAAGCATCTGGACAGAAAGCCAGTAGTTTCTGGGCTTTAAAGAGCTTGCCCTACCCTCTGCTGTGTGAACTTGCCTGACATGCTCAGCTACTCTGGGCTGTGGGATGTGAACCCAGGTCTATCCAGTTCCAGAGTCTGTTTGCTCTTGGTTATGTGATTGGGGCTGCTATACTTAGAGTGTGCAGATGAGGGTTAAGGGCAGCTGAGACCCAGGCACAAGTTCACCTGTGAGGCCCTACCCAGAGGAAAGGGCGCCATTTTCTAATGTACACGTGCCAGTCACGGAGTCCATTGTCAGTCATAAATGACCTTCAAGTGATAGGTCAAGATAAAAATGATGGACCTCCAAAAAAAAAGCTTTTTAGGAGTCAGGCATGATGGCATAGACCTGTAATCCCAGCATTCTGGCAGCTGAGGAAGGAAGATGGAGAATTCAAGGCCAGCCCGGGTGCCAAACATTTGGCTTTGTTAGGTCTGGGAACCTGAACCTGTATTCCCAGAAAGGCCTGTGGCCAGCTCTGGAACCATTGTCTGAGAACCATTGGCTAAATTTCTCTGTAAGAGAGAAATTGAGACTCTGCAAGGATCCAGCCCCCCCTTGGCTGCTGTTTATGGTTGCTAAGCAACAGCTAGGGACCTGGTCCCGATTCCCTGCAGGGGGAATTCCTCATCAGAGCAGTTCTAAATGTTCTCTCTCAGGGTCACAATTTGGGAAAGATGTTCCCCTTCCCTAAAAGTAGTTGCAATGGTGACCAGAGCCTGGATTTGCAGGCTGAGCCTGGAAACCTGAGTGGGTGGATGCAGTGCAGGAGCCAGAGGGTGGAGCTGTGTGTGTGTGTGTGTGTGTGTGTGTGTGTGTGTGTGTGTGTGAGATTTCCCAGCTAAGAAGGCTGGAAAGAGTGAGCCTTTCGGATGTTGGCTGGCTTGCAGCCTGTGCTACCATATTGGCAGCCCTGGCTGTAGGCTTCAGACATCTGTCCCCTCCCCATGCGCCAGGATCCTCACCTTTCAGCCACAGACAGCACCCAAGCTGTGGTAACCCAGAGGCCAAGCGTGAGGCCCAGCAGCAGACGGCCAGGGTGCGTGTTCATGTACAGCTTGGCCACGAACCAGTGGCGGAAGCGGACTTGATTGAGAGCCCCGATGCTGCGATAGGATGCATTGAGCAGGACACCACTGCGCAGGAGCACCGCTCGGGGCACCAGGTAGAGGCGCAGCAGCATTGCCAGGGACAGCAGAGCCTCTCCTTCGCCCAGGAAGCAGGGCCAGGGCTGCGTGTCTGCATCCTGCGCCTCCCTGGCCAGTGCGCACTGTGGGCTCCGCATGGGGACCGGGTGCAGCCCGCACACCATCAGCTCCAGAATGATCTGCGCCGCCTGCCTCCGGGTCAGAGCCACGCGCCAGTCACGGAGTCCATTGTCAGTCATGAACAGCTGCCAGGAAGGGAAGGGGCCGGCCGGCAGGGGGACAGGGTCAGGTGCAGGGCAGACGGCGACACACCCGGCCTGCAGGCCTGCACCCCGAGATAAGACCAGGGACGCCCGCCCAGGCCTGAAAAAGGCAGAGATAGCAGCGCTGGGCGTGGGGCTGGGGAGAGCTGGGGAAGGAGCCAGGCAGGAACCCAGGAGATATCCATTCCTCCACCTTCTCCACTTCCTTGAACCCTTTCTTGCTTATTCCTGTTCTAACATTAATTGAGCACCTACTATGTGTCCTGCTGTTTCTGTTTGTTTGGGCTTTTTGAGATAGGGTCTCCCTGTAGCCCCAGCTGGTTGCTTACAAATGCCTCTGTGCTGGGCACTGTTATGTTTTATATGCTAAGAATTAACAGGGAACAGCCGGGTGTGGTGACACATGCCTTTAATCAGGAGGCAGAGACAGGCAGATCTCTGTGAGTTCGAGACCAGCCTGGTCTACATAGTTCCAGACCAGCTGGGGCCACAGGGAGATCCTATCTCAAAAAGACCACCCCCCCCAAAAAATTCACAGGGAATGAAACAGAACCTTTGCCTGTCACAGCTTATGTTCCCATCCCTGGGGCTCTCCTCTACTTATGGTTCTTGGGGACACTCATAGTAATTGTTATAATAATACTACCAGCAAAAAGAAAGAAAAAGGCCAGGGCTGGCAAAATGACTCAAAGGGTAAAGGTGCTTGCTGCTAAGCCTGACTACCTGAGCTCTATCCCTGGGACTCACATGGTGGAAGGAGAAAACTGGCTCCATAGAGCTGTCCTCCGACCTCTACACATGCAAAGTTGCATGCACAAATCCGCACAGACAAATAAATAAATGCAATAAAAATTAAAAAAAAAACAATAGCCAACATTTATCGAGGGTTTTGTTGGGGGAGGGTCTTTTGAGGCAAGGTCTCACTGTGTAACTCTGATTGGACTGACTGGACCTTGGTTTGTAGCAAAGGCTGGTCCCAAATTCATTATTCTCCTACCTCAGCCTCCCAAGTGCTGGAATTACAGGTAGGTGCCACCATGCCTAGCTCCATTTATACAGCACTTAGGATGCCCCAGAAGTACTCTGTCTCCTGAAACTGGTTATAAGCTGCCATGTGGATGCTGGGAACTGAATGTGGGTTCTCTGCAAGAATAGCAAGTGCTCTTAACTGCTGAACCATCTCTCCAGGCCCACTCCTAATTTATAAATGTAGAAACTGAGGCCCAGGTCCCACAACAGGGCAATGAAACACTGGCCCAAGGACACTACCTACTCTATGACACCTGTGTAGAGAACCGTCTTCAGTGTGCCAGCTAAGGATTCTACAACTGAATCATACCCCCAGCCCCTCACTGGGGGATTCTAGGCAGGTGCTCTACCACTGAGTCACGCCCCCAGCCCCTCACTGGGGGATTCTAGGCAGTGCTCTACCACTGAGTCACGCCCCCAGCCCCTCACTCTGGGGGTCTAGGCAGTGCTCTACCACTGAGTCACGCCCCCAGCCCCTCACTGGGGGATTCTAGGCAGGTGCTCTATCACTGAGCCACATCCTTAATTTCTGGAGGCCTGGCTCAGTGGTAGAGTGCTTGCCAAGATGTGCAAGGCCCTGACTTCGACCCCAAGCAACAAAAATAACAAAAGAAAAAAAAAAAGCAAGGGGTCTGGGGATATCGGGCCTGACAGGAAGGCACTTTCAACGTCCCTGAGCAAGGACGAGCATGGGGCCTACCGACTGGGGAAGGGCTTCAGCTACCCCAGCAGCATTTGTCTGTCTGTCTGCTTGTCTGTGGTTCATGCTAACCTAGAGGGCAAGGGTGTTAACATAAACATCAGAGTGGAAGAGTCTCACTTCTCAGATCAGGAGGAGGTGGGACACATGGGGAACCAAGGTGAGGGCTGGGACCTGCCTTACCTGGACCTCTTTGGCGTGGAAGGCCACAATGAGGCAAAGGAGGAAGGCAGTGGACAGGGTGATCAAGCATTTAACCAGGAGCAGGTAGATTGCCCACTGTGGGAGGACAGAAGACAGTGAGGCCGGTGACTCTAGCCCATCCATTCACTCTCCTGGTTCTTCAGAAGAGTCATCTTTCTCCATTCCACATGTCCTGCCTCCCAAAACTACTTTTGAGCTGACAGCCACGGTGGCACACACCTACAATTCCAGCACTTGGGAGGCTGAGACAGGAGAATCTCTGGTTTGAGGTCCAGCTGGGCTATATAAAGAGACCCTGCCTCAAAACAAACACACATCATCTGGCCCCCAACCAGATAGCCCTGTCTCAGATCCCATGACTCGTTCCCCTCCCCATTGGTTCTTCCTCTTGGATTTCCGCCTCCCAAAGGGAGGCCACAAAACTCACATTTTTTCCCCTTCCCCAGGAAAAGTCGTTCCTCATTTATGTATGTGTGTGGAGTGTCTAGAAAAAACACCCAGCCCCAGAGAATGCCCCTTTTTCCTTCCCACTCAGTTGGTCTAGCTCCCCTACCCCAATTCCAGAAAAGCCTAGAAACTGCCATGCAGTCTCCTAGAACTGAATGATGCCCTGCTCTGTTCTCATCTAAGGAATGAGTCCTTGAGACCCCAGCCCCAGCTCTGAGAGGGGGCCCCTCAGTCCTACTCCTTGAGCCCCCGCTCCCCTCTCCCGCCTTTTCCCCTGGCTGTAAGCCCAGGGCACATGAGGGCGGAAGTTCAGGGCCTACATAAACCACAAGTGTTTTTTCTCTCTTTGTGTGACAAGGCCTTGGAGAGATCAAGAATTCAGCAGGGAAGGATTTAGAACTGGGGATTAGAACTCCCTAAAATGGGCCAGTCCCTGTTTGAGAAATATTGTCCCTCTGGCAGAGGCTGCCTGGGTTCCCACCTTGAACCCTGCACCTGTTTCTCCCCGGCCTGATGCCAGCTTCCCTGGCTGGGTCTGGGCCAACTCCCTGGCTCTGAGCAGGGGAAGAAGGCCAGTTTCCTGCCTCGGGGGGCCTCTCCCCACCCCTCCTTGAACAATGGTGCTGTTGTCCCCAACCCTCCCCTCCCCCTTCCTCTTTCCAAGGCTCCCTGGCTCTCTGTCCAGTTTCTTCAATCTGTCTTAGCCCTGTCTCATCAGACACCAGGCTCTTCCCCACAAGGCAATTCATTTTTGCAGTGCCCCCTGCCACGCTTCCTGATTCCTCACTTAGATGAAGCTCTCTAGACCTGGGCCGCGGACTTGCCCCTCTCCAGAGACTGCCTTATTTGAGACAAAGTCTCATGTAGCCTAGGCTGAACTATGTAGCTTGGGTTGACTTTGAATCCCTGATCCTCCTGCCTCTACCTCCCAAGTGCTGGGATTACAGGCGTGCTCCACCATGCCCAGTTTATGCAGTGCTGGTGATCCAACCCTGGGTTTCAGACATGCTCGTTAAGCACTCTACCAACTGAGCTACATTCCCAACCCTAGGTAGGGTCTTTGTTTTTAAGGCTGTTCTATCCCTGTGTGGGTTTCAAACGTGGTTTCTCGGGAGCTCTGCAGCCCTCTGTTTTTGTGGCTGTACCTCTCTGTCCCTTGCTGTGTTTTTATCTGTCTCTTCATCTTTCTCTCTGTATCTCTGTCTCCCAGTGTCTTTATCCATCCCTCCCCCCTCCAACCCATCCCATCCTGAGAGCTCTGACTCTTCCTTCCTAAGCCTTGGCACCTGCTACACCCCCTGAGGGCATCCCTGTTCTGTCAAAATGAATTCATTAGATTGAGATGGAGTTGGGGAGCAGACCCAAATATCACCCAGTTAGTCATTGAAAGGGAACTTGGGCCGGGAATGTGGCTCAGTTAGTCGAGTGCTTGCCTAGCATGAATGGAGCCTTGGATTCGAACCTCAACCCTGCGTAAACTGGCTGTGGTTGTTCATGCCTGCAATCCCAGCAAGGTGAAGGTAGAGGCAGGAGGGACAGAAGTTCAAGACCACTCTTAGCCGCACTGCCAGTTTAAGGCCAAATTGGACCATGAGAGTTCCAGCCTCAAAACAAACAATCAAGGTAGGGAGAGGCCCTGGGAATAGTGGCTCATGCCTTTAATCCCAGAACTCAGGAGGGAGAGGCAGGCAGATCTCTGAGAGATGGAGTCCAGCCTGGTCTATCTACATAAGGAGTTCCAGGCCAGCTGGGGCTATAGAAAAAACCCTATATGGGGGGTGGGGGAGAAAGAAAGAGAAGAAATCAAATAGAAAATTTTAAAGGGTAGGGATGTTTTTGGGGGGCATGTTATTTGAATCTTAGTTTACAGATAGGGAAACTGAGGCTCAAAGAGTTGTACAGCTTCCCCCAAGGTACCACATGGAGGCAAGGGCTGCGCAGGAGGAAGAGGCAAGAAGAAAAGAGGTGAGAAGGGAGAGGATGAGTCTAAGGGAGGAAGGACCCCCTGATCCCATCCCATCTGCCAGTGCTCCCAGGTCCCTACCACCCCTGCTGGGCGCGGTGCTGGAGCGTGGGAGCGCCGGGCAGGCCCCAGCCATGCTTCCTGTTGGCACAGCTCTCATTGGCCCCACCCCCTCATGCCGCTGCCCTCTCCTTAGCCGATCGTTGGAGGAAGCTGGCCTGCCCTGACCCTCCATGTGGCCGCCAGTCACTTCACAGCTGCCCGCTCCTCTGTTCCCAAATACAGGGCTGTGCACCAGACCCCCAGAAATTCTCCCAACGAACTTCCCATCTACGTGCCTACCAGTAGCCACTTCTGCAACCGTTACCCCAGACCTTCCAGAACCCTTACTCCAGACCTTCCAGCTTCTCTCTTCCTGTTAAACAAGTATGTTCCCCCTTCAAGCCACAGACCTTTGTCCTCCATCTCCCTTATAGCCTTATGTCACAAGTCTGATTAGGGCCAGAATGGCCCAAGGGCTTAAGACCTGCCTTGGCCACAGCTGCAACCCCTGGTCCTCCAAAGACCTGTCTCTCAATTTTGTTCTCTTGTTATTTTGTTTTTTTTTGCGGGGGGGGGGGGGATCTTTTTGAGACAGGTTCTCGCTGTAGCCCCAGCTGGTCTGGAACTCGCCATGTAGACCAGGCTGGCCTTGAACTCACAGAGATCCACCTGCCTCTGCCTCCCAAGTGTTGGGATTAAAGGCCTGGGTCACCATGCCTGGCTTGTTTTTGCTTTCTTAAAAAATTTTTTTTCTATTTTTTTTAATGTATATGAATGTATTGCCTGCATGTAGGTAGGTGCACCCATGTCATGCAATGCCCAAAGAGGTCAGAAGAGGGTGTTAGGGTCCCTGGAACTGGAGTTACAGGCAGTTGTTAAGCCACCATGTGGGTGCTGGGAATTGAACCCAGGTCCTCTGCAAGAACAGTCAGTACTCTTAACTGCTGACCTATCTCTCCAGCCCATTTATTTATTTATTTATTTATTTATTTATTTATTTATTCCCTGTAGTCTCAGCTGGCTTTTGAGACAGTCTATGTAGCCCAGGCTGGCCTCTAACTCAGTATGCCTAGGTTGCCCTTGAACTTCTATCCTTTTGCCTCCATTTCCCCAGTACTTGGATCACAGGCATGTACCCTCATACTCCCCAGAGATTTTTCAAGCCTCTTCTTCCTCCTCCTCCTGCAGACCCTTGAGTCTGGGATCTGCAGCCACCTCCTCCCCAGGTACCCAGGAGTTCGAGTCACTATAAACCATTGTCTGGCAGATGAAATGGCAGGTGCATTCTGGAGGGCACTGATTTTCTGTGTGATGGAGGTGGGTTCCACTTCTCACCCTACCATTGTCTGTTATTTCTGGGCACTGCCTGTTGCAGCCCTGGCACTGGGTAAATGGTAGAAGTTAGATAAGGGGCAAGGAGCCGCCGCCTACTGAAGGAACTCCTTTCTCTCCTCTCCTTCCCTTCACCAGCGCTGGGCCATCAAGGGTCAGCCTTACAGTGGCCTCTCTAAGTGGACCTCCAGCTGTTGGATAATGATGTTCTCAAAGACTGAGGCTGTGAGCCAGCTCCCTTCCACCTGAGGGGTGGGTGGTGGTGGTGGTGGAGGAGAGGGATGGTACAGTATCAAATTCATCAAAGTCTAAAGGATTAAAGACCCCAGTCCTCCACCCTCAGACACAGAAGTTTAGACCTCAGACCTCTTCCCTCAGACCTGGAAGTGCAAAACCCCAGTCTTCCTCCCTCAGATCCAGGAGTCCACACCTCAGCCCTCCTCTCTCAGATTCCTGGGTCAAGACCTTAGACCTCCTCTCTCAGACCCAGGAAAAGTGCACACCCCAGCCTTCCTCCCTCAGACCCAGGGATCCAGACCCCAGTCCTCCTCCCTCAGACCCAGGGATCCAGACCCCAGCCCTCCTCCCTCAGACCCAGGGATCCAGACCCCAGCCCTCCTCCCTCGGACCCAGGGATCCAGACCCCAGCCTCTTCCTTCTAGGGGTCCCAGACCCCAGTCCTCCTCCCTCGGACCCAGGGATCCAGACCCCAGCCCTCCTCCCTCGGACCCAGGGATCCAGACCCCAGCCCTCCTCCCTGAGATACAGGGATCCAGACCCCAGTCCTCCCTCAGATCCAGGGGTCCAGACCCAGACCACCTTCCTCAGACCCAAGGATCCAGACCCAGACCACCTCCCTCAGACCCAGAGGTCCCAGCCCCTGCTCTGCCCTGTGGAAGGGCTCTACTCACTGTGCAGCCCTGGAACCACAACATCTCCGCGTGCAGCACCATGAGTCCGATGCCAGTTCCCGCCAGCACCAGCGCCCAGCCGGCCAGCCTCTTCTCCTGCTCCAGCAGGCGCTTTCTGCGCCGCAGGGCCCCCAGGCAAGTCACCTGCTTCCCGCCCATGGCCCCTAAGGTCTTGGGGCTCAGCCAGCTTCCTGCCCAGGGTCTCGCACAGCTCAATACGCAAATGGCAGCCAGTTTGGCTTCCAGGCGGGCGGCCTGTTCTGCTCCGCTCGCACTGGGACTTTTGCTGGGAGGCACAGCCCTGTGCCCTCTGGGGAGTGGTAACGGCGGCAGGGCAGGGCGGGGAGGGACAGGGAGGTCCTTGGGTAGGGGGAGGCTCCCTAACCCTGCTTCTGAGACTAAGGAGGGGCTGGGGTGTGTCTTGGGGCCCCAGCAAGGAAGAAGAGTCCATCCACGTGGGTCAAGACACACACTGACACACAATACGTTGTGACTCTCCAACGGTTTGCACTCTGTGATACACACCTACAACCCGCCACACCCAAACATCACAGGGTACCCCACGACAGACCGGAGGTGAAACCCAACACACCGCACACACCACACAACCTCTGCAAAAGTGACTCACAACTCCCGACCGTTCTAAAACCCACAGCCACGCCCAGACACCACACACACATGGTGTGACACACGCAGGCACTTAGCTGGCCAGGCAGTGTTCCATGGCACATAGGCCACCCAAACATACTACACACACAGCTACATGCTCTGCATTCAAAAGGCAGATGAGGCTGGGGCTGGAGCTCAGTCCACAGAGTGAGTGCCTGGTGTGCAGGAGGCTCTGAGTTAGATTCCCAGCACATCTGTAAACCCCACATCTGGGTGGTGGAGGCAGGAGGATCAGAAGTTTGAGGTCATCCTCAGCTATGAGTTCAAGGCCAACCTGGGCTACATGAGACCCTTTCTCTAAAACCCATAATAGTCTGTGACACAAAAAACTGGATCCAGATATTCCACATAGGGTGATGTTTGTCAATGGCCACACATACATGTACAGTGGATATCAAGAACTACACAAACACAGGGCTGGAGAGATGGCTTGGCAGTTAAGAACACTGTTTGTTCTTGCAGAATACCTGGGTTCGAATCCCAGCACCCACATGGCAGCTAATAACTGTCTGTAACTCCAGTCCCAGGGGATCCAACAGCCTCTTCTGACCTCCGCAGGCATTGCACTACATGGGTGCACTTACCTACATGCAGGGCAATACATGCATACATATAAAATAAAAATTATAAATAAAAATAAAAAAAGAACTACACAAACACACAGTAGATATAGACACAGCCTAAAACCATCCAAACACAGTACACATGTATTAACAGGTTCCCAAGGGGTTACAAAATGACACACACAAGGGGTTAGACCCACGCACACTATTCAGGGCCAAGCAGTTGCAGTCCCCAATCACCCAGCGTCTAGAGAAATGAAAACACACAGAGACACACACCCTGGTCTGAGGGACTTCACACACCCCACCCCTCAGGATAACCTTGACACATACTGCTACCTCTGGCACATACTAATGCTCTGATGTTCAGCTTGCTGTGGCACACAATGCAATTCAAATTTATGGTCAGAGGGCAGTCTGAACAGAAGTGTGCAAGCAGTTTGTACCCAAAGTTAGACATTAGAGAATATTCTAGCCACATAAGACACAATATGATGACCTTGGGGTTTTGGGGATTGGAATTGGACCCACATAGACACCAGTGGCCAGATGTAGCAAACCATTGCCCTAAAGTCACACATAATACCTGCATACATGATGCTCCAAGATGCATGCCACACAAACAACACACAGGGAAGGGGAGCCCCATAACATGGATATGTATCCTGACATGAGACATAAAACCAACAAAGAGGACCAGGAAGATGGCGCAACTGGTAATGTGTCTGCTATACAAATATTAAGACCTGCTGGGCATGGTGGCGCACGCCTTTAATCCCAGCACTCGGGAGGCAGAGGCAGGCAGATCTCTGTGAGATCAAGGCCAGCCTGGTCTACATAGTGAGTTCCAGGACAGCTGGGGCTACAGGGAGACCCCGTCTCAAAAACACCAAACCAAACAAAACAAAATAAAAAACCAAAAACAAATATTAAGACCTGAGTTTGAGTCCCCAGTACCTAAATAAAAGGAGTGCAGAGGCACGTGTCTGTCCAGCAGGGGTAGGCGGCAGTACAGACAAGCAGGTCCCTGGAGCTCGCTGGCCAGCCAGCCTAACTGAAGCAATGACAGACCTGTCTCAAAAAATAAGATGGAGGAGCTGCTGTGGTGGCTCAGTGGGTAAAGGTGGCTGCCACCAAGCCTGAGGATCTGAGTTTGGTCCCTGGGACCCACATAATAGAAGGCGAGAAAAGACTTCCAAAAGTTGTCTCTAACCTCCACACTCTCACTGTGGCATGCACATGCACACACACATAAAATGAAATGTTTAAAAAATGTTAAAAGTAAGTTACAGAGGCTAGAGAGATGATTCAGTAGTTCAGAGCACTGGCCGCTCTTGCAGAGGACCTGGCTTTGGTTCCCAACACCCACATGGCGACTAACAACCTTCTGTAACTCCAGTTCCAGGGGATCTGACGCCCTCTTCTGGCCTCTGCGGGCATTGTAGGAAAATACTCAAACACATAAAATAAATATAAATAAAACATAAGGTACAGGGCCTGGAGAGATTCCTCAGTGGTTAAGAACTGGCTATTCTTGCAGAAGACCCAGGTTTGAATCCCAGCACCCACATGGCAGCTAACAACTGTCTGTAACTCCAGTTCCAGGAGATCCGACAGCCTCTTCTGTCCTCTGCAGGGCATTGCATGACACGGGTGCACTTACCTACATGCAGGCAATAAACACATACACATAAAATAAAATATTTAAAAAATAAGGTACATAAGAAATGAAGACAACACTGACCTCTGGCGCCCCAACATGCACACACAACGTGAACACATACATATAACGCATACACACAACTCACAAGGAGACACAACACAGACAAACAGTGAATGTAACACCGTGAGTTGGATATAGTATGGGGCACAGCGGCTCCCACAGGGACACACAGTGAAGAAAGTTGACCACACAGAGGACCTATGTGTATCGGGACCTAAAACCCTCCTACAGAAACACACAGAGACACCAGACAGGGGGAACACAAAATAAAATACCTCGTGCAGGGCACACGGTGATCTTGTGACATGATGGGTTACCTCACAACCCTCACTCTCAGAGGAATGTTCAGACACAACCCCCTCCCTCCCTGAGTCCTGTGGTATTCAGGATGATGGACCCGCCAGCCACAGGGAAATGAGACACCGGAGGACAGACATGTCTGGCACCACACAGCAACCCACAGGGACACACCCAGAGACTCCAAACCACACACACACACACACACACACACACTCACACACACATGCCTAGTGACAAAAACACACCCCGTGGGGGTGCCCCACCCCATGGCACACACATTGATCCCACTCCATGACACACAGTGGCAAGAGAAGGATGGAGACACACCCGGGCACACCCAGCACCACACGTGTCTGCTGGGAGAAAGTGCTCCTGCCTGGTGCTTCTCACACTACAAGCCAGGCATCCCTGCCCGCTTACTGCCTCGGGCCTTACTCTCCTGTGGCCTGGAGCTATCTCTCTACCTCCCCTCTCCCTCAGCAAATCTCTGGGCCTTGTGTACAACTCCTTTCTTAGTCTTTGAGCCTCCAGGTTCATTTCTTTTTGTTTTTCTTTTTAAGTGTTGGGACTGGAACCTAGAGCCTCCTGTATGTTAGACAAGTGCACAGTACTAAGCCACATCAGGGCCCCTCACTAGTGGATTCTAGATAGGAGCTTGACCATTGAGCACATCCTCAGCTCCTCACTGGGGGATCCTAGGCATGTGCTTTACCACTGAGCCACACCCCAACCCCTCACTGGGGGATTCTAGGCAGGTGCTCTACCACTGAGCCATACCCCAGCCCCTCACTGGGGGATTCTAGGCAGGTGCTCTACCACTGAGCCACACCCCAGCCCCTCACTGGGGGATTCTAGGCTGATGCTCTACCACTGAGTCATGCCCAAAGCCCTAGGTTTGTCTTTGTCTCCCTGTCTCTGTCTTTCTAGGTCTTTGTGTTCCCAGTGGCTTCTCTGTCAGCCTCCATCACCATGTACACACCTGGGGCCTGAGTGTCCTTTGTTCTGTTTCCACTCTCTCTGACCCTCCATCTTCCCATGTCTGTCTCTTTAAACTTCTGTGTCTCTATGTCTCAAACTTTCTCTCCTCTCTCTCTCTCTCTCTCTCTCTCTCTCTCTCTCTCTCT